GGGGCGGTGATCTCGGAGCAAGTTCCCAAGTCGTGCGAAGGAGCTTAGGCAAGCTATGCTCCTTCAATCCGACACGGGGTTCTCTAAACTAAACCCGAATCCCTAAGAACCCTAAACACCCTAAAGACCCTGGTTTTGAGGGTGCGCTGTAGTTCTGAGATCGCTGCGGGCCGACGGGCATCAGAGGTTCATATGGGGCCCCCTTATGTCCCCGCCTCGAAACCCTCCCCTCCACCCCCCTCTTGAGAGCTTTTTCGCAGCTGCTTGAGTCGAGAACCGCAGTCCTCTCGGCCCGACCTGACATCCTGCCTTTTTGCACTCCGCTTGGCCCTGCTGGATCCCAAGGGTTGGCGCTTGATCCGACCCTGGACCCCTGAATTTTGATGTCGCGAGTCCGAACCAGACAGCCCTAAACCGTAGACCCTAGACCCTAAACCATAAACCCGAAGGGCTTTCGAGATTTTCGGGCCGGGCTGAAGCGGTCGACGCGCAGCATTTACAACCAAGCTACAAAAGGGGCCTAAATAAACTTGATAGGGTTTTGGGGCGCTCTTATAGTGTACTTATAAGGGGGCCATCAGCAAATACTACTAGTCATTATTCCGACCCCCTACTAAACTACCTTCGAAGATCTAGGTTGGGATAGGTTGGGCCATGGAAATCCCAAGCCTCGTCACTTTCGCTCAGCTCTTGCGAAGCACTGCGGGACAGAGACCTGGTTCGAGACAAAGACCTGTCAGAGGCAGGCCGCAGCTTGTGCTGTTAGGGTTTAGGGTTCAGGGTTCAGGGTTTAGGGTTGAGGGTTGAGGGTTGAGGGTTGAGGGTTGGTTTAGGGCTTAGGTTTAGGGTGCAGGGTTCATGTTTCAGGGTTCAGGGTTTAGGGTTTCGGGGTTAGCTTTGCAAGATTGAGTTGCATTGCCTTTTGCGAAAATGGGTTGGGGATATGCGCGCCTGAAGATTTCGAGTGCTGCAGCACGTGCTGCCCGACTGTGAGTACAATCACCCATAGATCTGGCAGTGTGCCTTTGACTCATCATCGAATTAAACAAGAATCAACCATCAGATGCAACCATCAGATGCAAGAGATGCAACCTTTGCACCACGAATAATTTCCATGTTCTTGCCACTCCCACCACCGCACTGGCGCGCCTTGAGCGGCCGGAGTTCATGGGCAGGGTTCGATCACGCAGAGAGGCGGAGAAGTCGTTCCCGGGCCTTCACGTGCACTCTGCCGAGGCTTCCGGGGACTTCCGGGGGGTCCCACGAAAAACTTCGGCTCGGCGCTCAGGCCGGCGCGCGTTCCGATTATCCCAAGGCTCACCAGCCTGCGGCTCGCATGACTCTCTCACACGCAATCATTCTCCGAGTCACAAAAAACAGAGCCCTTTGAGCGCCTGCAAGGTCTTCTGGTAGTCCTGCCTTGAACAGAGGAAAGGGTAGGTCGCTTTCGTCTCTTTCTCTCTCTCTCTCTCTCTCTGTCTCTCTCTCTCTCTCTCTCTCGCTCTCTTTCTCTCTCCCTCTCTCCAAGTTGGTCCATGTGCACCAAGGTCCCCAGCCTCCCCTTGGAAGGAAAGCGCATGGAGCTCTTTGGCGAGGACTCCGGCGTAGGAGCCCTCTGCAATCAAAGCGCTCCGCATGTGAAGGTCTGGTCTCTTCTGATGGCCCTAAACCCTAAACCCTAAACCCTAAACCCTAAACCCTAAACCCCAAAGCATCAACCCTAAGCTCGTGTGCACAAGCGATCCTCCGCGACGAGGCTCTGTTCCATGAGGCTCGCGAGGACTGCGGGCCTGAAACCACGGGAAATCTCATGGGATCCCTTGTTCAGAAAACTTCAGGATGCTTCATAATAGTACTAATTTCTACATATATATATATATATATATATGTATATATGTATATGTATACATTTTTGTTCATATTTATAGTAAGATTACCATTAGAATTGATGTAAACCATGCTCAACGAGCTGAACACACAGCAGGATGAGGCACGGGCTGATGGCTTGCGGTACCGGCCTGCGGACAGAGGAGGAGTCTCAGCGTAACGGGCTTGGGCTGGACCCACTGCCTTGAAGGTTCAGGATACTTCTTGACCAATTATGACTGTACTTATAACCCAAATCATAACTGTACTTGTAACCCAAATTAGAAAACCCAAAACTTGTTACCCAAATTATAACCACATTAGGGCACGTAAAAGGGGCTTATAAGCGGGTTAGAGGCACAGTCATCATTGGTTCATAAGTACCCTGAACCTCCAAGTGGACGGCTTGGACAAGGCCTCTCCATCTTCGAGGTCTCGGCGCCCTCGCGTTGACAGCGGGGCGCGTCTCCCCCTCCCCTCTTTAGGGTTTAGGGTTTAGGGTTTAGGGTTTAGGGTTTAGGGTTTAGGGTTTAGGGTTTAGGGTTTAGGGTGTAGGGTGTAGGCAAGAACCCGTCCTCCAGGACTCGCCGCTCCCTCGAGACGCTGCTGGGAGAGTGGGCCGGGGTGCCGCTGCGAGATGCTGGCCTTCGGAATCGCAGAAGATGTTTGCACAACCCTTAACCCTAAACTTGGGATGTTCCCCCTTGTACGATTATAATCTCTATTAAGGGCTGTTAGTATAAGGGGGAACACCCCTAAACCCCAAACCCTAAACCGTAGTTCCTGCGGCATGGCGAGTCGAGGCACGTCGCTATGCTCTCTTGGGCACCCGGCATCTCCGATCTCGGGCTTGGAGTAGTGTGGACCAGGCCTAAACACCCCAACACATCCTAACCCCCCTCCCCCCCAAAGAAAGCAGCTTAAACCCGAAACCCTAAACCCTAAAGCCTTGTAAGCCAATAGACCCTACAGCAGAGCATCTTTGAGTCGCCATGGCCCCCAACATGCCCCCCTCGCCCCCACAGCCAAGGTTGGTGCTTGCCGGCTTCGGCCTCCACTTCCAAGACACTCTTGCAAAGACTCCGCGCAAGCCTCCTTAAGGCAGAAGACGGCGAGCCTCTCCATCTTCCGGCCCTTTGCGAGTGCAGGTGTGTTTACTCGAGGCTGAGGATCGAGGGTTTAGGGTTTAGGGTTTAGGGTTCAGGGTTTAGGGTTTAGGGTCCAGGGTTTAGGGTTTAGGGTTTAGGGTCCGACAGACTGTGTCTTTCACTGCCTTGAGCTTCCCTCGCTGGGTTTTCCCTGGCCTGTGGAGACGAAGAGCGTTCCAACACGTCGACGCGTACCTGCGCACCACCCTGAAAACCCCAAACCCGAAACCCTGAACCCTGAACCCTGAACCCTGAACCCTGAACCCTGAACCCTGAACCCTAAACCCTAAACCCTAAACCCTAAACCCCTGAACCCTAAACCCCAAACAAACTTGAGCAATCTCCGGACAAAAATGGGGTTCGAAGAAGGGATGAAGTGAGTGCAGGGCCAGGAAGCCCAAACCCAAATTGTGGTGCAGGTTATCAGCAAAAAGCCAGAACCCTTCCTTCATCCTTCTATCCCCTGTTTGGGTTTAGGGTTTAGGGTTGAGGGGTGCAGGGTTTAGGGTTTTTAGGCCTGGTTGATAGGGGTCTAAAAGCATGTATAGGGTTGAGGCTTTATCGGGATTCGGGAACCAGCACGCCACCCTGCGCGGCGTTCTGCATGGAAACTGGAGCGCCGCCCGGAACACTCAGTTTTCACAGCGCCGCGTGCCAAAAACAAAGCACACGCGGGAAGCTGCATCCTTGACGTGCATGCCTGAAACCCCTCAACCCTCAAGACGAGCCCTGAAGCAGCCAGAGACCCACATCTAGACCCTAAGCCCTCTCTAACCCCTAGCCCACCCCCCAACCCCCCAAAAGCCTTCAACTCTTTAAAGGCCCGAATAGCCCCACTCTGCGCAGGCGCACGCGATCTTGGCTCAAACTCCGCCTAGCGAAGCCGGCCGGCGTCCCGATGCCATCGAGGACACGCGGCATGCCCTGATTTCAAATTTCGGAGACGACAAAAACAGGGAGGGTCTGAAAAATTAGGTCCTCATAAAGTTTTTTGAAGGCTTTTGGGCTTAGGGCCTTAACACAAGAAAAGAGCGGGGCTCCTTGAAGGATTTTTTTTATTTTCTTGACTGCCAAGGCTCTGAAAGGGTTCTATAGGGGTTTTTAAGGCTTCGATGGGCTTGCTTAGTGAGAATTGAAGGAGCTCTAGATATAGCTACTTACAAACTAGTAGCCAACCTCACTTACTAAGTCCCATGATCTTCCAAATATAGAAGGTGTTGGAGTAGATTACTTTTCTGCAACTGTACAGGCCTAGAAGGGGATGCTAGTACTAAGTATTCCGACCTTTGTATTTGCTGTTCTTGAGCTAACCTAGCTTACGGATTCAATTTCATGTAGGCACAGGGACTACGAGGGGGTACTACTACTAACTGTTCACACCTTCGTCGTAGAATTGGAGTTACAGGAACTATTAACGCGATACCTTTACAACATATTCAGACCTCTGAAAAAAAAACAAAACTTGTCCGCGCAGCCCTATAGAACCCTTATCTACGAACGAATCTTACAGACATCTCTTGTTAGAGCCTTGCTTTGGCTCCAGCATGGTAGGCCCGAAAGCCCGAAAGCCAACTCCACAGGGAGTTTTCTTAAAAATAAGGTTTCGTTAGGCTGAGGCTTGAACCAGGCTTTAAAAGGCTTGGAAAGGGCTTGAACCTTTGGCTTCTTACCAGGTTGAGGTTTCTCTACAACGGTCCCCAAATTCTCTGAAACTCCCACGTCTACCTGGGCTGAACCCTGCTTGTCGCACACGCCTCACACCTCGGGCTTCAAAGAGCAACCTGCCCAGCAACATGTGCACCGGGTTTGCTGCGACGAGACCCATGGAATCATGAAGTGCTTCAGTGCTACAGTCCGAGGAATCGGAACGTGCAGCTTCCTTTGCAGAGCACTGGGACCAGTTCGCTGGCTAGAATTTTCAAGAGTGAAGAGCCGGACATGAAAAGTCAGCATCTGTACATGGCTCGACTTTACGGATCTACAGCTTCAGCCAAGGTGGGCGCTGCTCACAGCAACTGGGGCCTGTACCACCTGCAGAGATTGATCCAGTAGCGCCTCCCTAACATCTACCTTCGCCGGCTGGTAGCAGCAGCACATGAGGCACAAGCTGATGAAGAGCGCGATGGAACCGCAGATGCCCAGCAAGAAGCTGCTCATAACCAGACCAACGATTGTACGCTCCTGCGCAGGGTTAAATGGCTTCGTGGAATCCCCCACGCCAATCACCCAGGTTGGATATGAGGTGCTGACCTGAAAATCACCATATGTACGTCCGCCTGGGGTGAATGTGCCCAGTGCCACCAGGTTCTGGCCCTTCCAGCCATATCCATCCCTGAGCGCCAAGGAGCAGTCGGAATCCACACTGAACAATTCCCTGGTATAGGTCTGGCGGATGATAATCGAGTCGGCACGCTGCTGGCAGTCTTCCGGAACATCTGAGTAGAATACGAACTTGGCATCGTCATGGTCCAAATCACCCCTTACAGTTACAGTGAAGTGGGTCTTTCCGTCCACGACCATCTGTTGCCCATCTCTGCTCCAGGCCACAACAACGGCCCCGATGTACAGGGCGACTCCAAGTGGCAAGAGTAGCGCCCCAACTACCGCCGTGACCTTCGCAGGCCGGTTGCAGCCACATCCTTCACACATGGCCCCTCAAGGACGCCGCAAGGAGACGCTACAAGGCGGGAATGTCTGGCTGAGCCTTCGCAACTCAGCGGCAAGGACAGAGGCGGTGGCACTACTACGGGTAGTTGTCGTCGGAGTTGGAGTAGGAGCATTCGGCGCAAACGTAGAAGTAGGAGGGTAGGGGTTGGGGTAGGTTTGACTGGGAGTACGAGTGGGAGCGAGAGTAGGCAGCAGTAATCGTCGTCGTAGTGACATTAGCGACAGTAGCAGTAGCAGTTGCTGTTGCAGTAGCAGTAGCAACAGTAGTAATCGTCGTCGTAGTCGTAGTAGTAGTGGTGGTAGTAGTGGTAGTAGTGGTAGTAGTGGTAGTAGTGGTAGTAGTGGTAGTAGTGGTAGTAGTGGTAGTAGTGGTAGTAGTGGTAGTAGTGGTAGTAGTGGTAGTAGTGGTAGTAGTGGTAGTAGTTGTAGCAGTGGTAGTAGTGGTAGTAGTGGTAGTAGTGGTGTAGTGGTAGTAGTGGTAGCAATGGTAGCAGTGGTAGTAGTGGAAGTCGTGGTAGTAGTGGTAGTAGTGGTAGTAGTGGTAGTAGTGGTAGTTTGTGTAGTGGTGGCAGCAGTGTAAGTCAGACAGTTGCACTCCTATATCGCCTTGGGAGATTCAACATGTAGATGAATCGAATGTTGGCTTGTCGGCCTGTGAGGCGGGTGTCCCATTAGCTGTCCTCCATTACCGGTGCTCGACTAGTTCAAGTCTTGCTTATATGCTCCACGTAAGAAAACTTCTTCGTTAAAAATCTGCAGGTCAGTGGGAAGTAGGTATACACAAATATATATATATATATGTAATATGCGAATGGATGAGCAAAGTACAATCTGTTATAGTCACCGGGATGTGACCATCGTCGAATTCACATGTCAAGCCGGGATGATTGCAAGTACTGTTGTGGCCACCGGAATGATTATGTTGCGGTCACTGCGTTCACCTTTCAAAATAATTAGTCCTTGGCGGCTGTAAGGTTTGGAAAGGTCCTATAAGGTGGCAAAACTCGTTATGAGCGATGCAATTACTTCCTCACCGTCACTACCATCGTCTCTCAGACATCCTTTCATCCTTGATTACGAGGAAGTCAGCGGCCAGACCACAGGACCCTCAGCACTTGACCGTTTGTAAAAGCACCAAAGTTATTGTGGCTCTTGGGCATTGCGCCCATGCATGAATGCCAGGATACAGTCCACTCAGTAGATTTCAGAATGAAGGAAAGTCCCACCATAGCATAGCGATTCCAAAAGCGTGAGGGCAGAGACATCAGATTCAGCAAGTTAGACTTCTTGGACGAAAAAGGTTCGTACCTGTGGCCCCCTTTTTTTGTACTGGATAGCAACAGATAACGGGCGCATGGTTGGTACCAAATGCATGGGTTTCTTGTTGTTGGACCTTTCATGACTTTCCAACTTCAAAGGTGCGGTGATAACGGTGCGAGTATGATGATGTTTGCCTTTCGAGTCTTTGGGAAGCCAACTGAGCAAGAACCAGGATTTCTGGGGAAAGGCCACAAGGTTGTGTGGGAAGCTTTCTTGCCTTGGGGAGCAACTGCCGTTCCATGATGATACGATCGGTTTGCACCGAGCGCGTGATTTCTCTTCCATGAGAAGCAAAAGCCGAAGCTCCCAAAGAGCCTCCTTACCGGGTTTCCCATCTGGGGGAGGAAAGGGGGGGGGGGGTACCCTTTGTACGTTTTTTTTTTTTTTGGAGGGGGGGGGGGTGAAGGGGGGGGGGGGGGGGGGGGGTGGGGGGAGGGGGGGGCATGGGCGTCCCAATACAAAGGAGTGCAGTATTTTGAGGATGTACTCGCGGACTCCTGTTCTGACAATATCCCCCAGCCCCTAACATGCCTCGAGCATCCTAAGCCCCTCAGCAATTTCAGAAGCGGGTTTTGTCGACAAAAACCCTAAACCCTAAACCCAAAACCCTCAACCCCAAACCCTCAACCCTAAACCCTAAACCCTTTCCTGTTTTATTGAAGCCCTTTGGGGCCCCAGCCGGATGGGGTGCGACGGCGCGGTAGCTGACTACCGGGCTCGGCATGGGGCTCACCACGGGGCCTGGGAGTCTCGGCCCTCTGATGCATTGGTAAATATTCTGATATGTTATGATATGTTATCATACATATTATAAAGCTTTCTCTATATATACATACATACATACATACATACATACATACATACATACATACATACATACATACATACATACATACATACATACATACATACATACATACATAATTGTATGTGTATATATATATATATATCAACTATTGCACCTGAGTCTCAGGAACTCTGCATCTCGTCTGAGCCTCGGGCTACGCAGTGCAACCGCATGTGCCACCGGATGTGCCATCGGATGTGCCACCGGCATGGCGGCTCCCGAAGTGTACACCGTGCGATGGGTAATGACCGGCGAGTACACCGTGTGGCCGATGGCCGTGTGCGGTACAGTCGGTACAGTCACTGCGACAGGAGTGAGGGGGTGTGGATGGACATGGGCACCCAGCGAAGCCTGCGTCAGCACAGGCCCCACGGGAGTTGGGTAAGGAGATGCCGGCGGTGAGCCCTGAATCTGGCCGAAGTCGTACACACGCCCTGAGGTGAACGGATTTGCAGGAGAGAGCAAGCTCACCATCGCCGTCCTGCCAGGGGACACAACCCGAGAAGTCATAGCCTCTCTGTGCTCTGCATATATATATATATATACGAGTATATATATATATATATACATATATATGTTAATCGATACTCATAACGAAGGAATGAAAACTAATTTAACAGCACAGCGCCTTGCCTGCCCGTGCCCTCCAGGGTGCCAAAGATTTCTACAACTCCCGTGGCCTCCAGCTCTTTGAGCTCTTTGGAGCCGGGCAGTGGCGGCGAGAACATGCCAAAACGACGGCACCCATGAAGAGCAACAAAATCTCATCTCTATTCGAAAATTAATGTATTACATATGTATAGTATATATTATATATGAATATATTAATACATGCCTAAAAACTCTGCTCGTGATGCTGCTTGGGGGGTGCGACTGCTTGAAGGGCCTCTGATGCTCGCCGGGGGCGCTGCCTCCATAAAGGGCCTCCGCAGCTGATGCTCCTGATGCTCGCGTTGGGGGGCTGCGACTCCTGGAAGGAACTTCGAAGCCGATGCTCATGCCGGCGGCGCCGACTCCATGAAGGGCTACTCGTGATGCTCGCTGAGGGGGTGGCTCCAGACACGGCCGCAGCTGATGCTCATGATGCTCGTGCTCGTGGTGCTCCTTGAAGTCTCGGCAACCATGGCCAAAGTGTGCCAAAGCCTAGGCAGATGATTGTCCTCGACCTTGAGGGGCATGTATCCCGGACGCTTTGCAGATGCCCAACCAAGCAGGGAGCGCAGCGATGCCGTCAGCATCTATCTCGGAAGGTAACAGCTTGCAGGATTTGCAGGGGCCAGATGTTCTAGAGATTCCAGTGCACACACCGGGGACAGGATGGTGGATGCGCCTACCCGATCTGCTGAAGTGGTGAGTTCTTGGCTCTGAGGGACACACCTCCCCATCGCTTTGCAAGTAGTCGCCTTGCTGCAGCCTCCAACCAGCTAAGCTGTCGGATGTGTTGCGGGACCGCGATTGAGGCTTCTGAAGAACAGGGCTTGTAGGGCCTGCACACAGCCCGCACGTCCTCGATCCCTGAGCCTCCGACCATCCCCCCACAAAACAGCACTGCCCCAAAGCATAACAAAACTGCCGACCTCGAAGCTAGCCACACATCCGATGCAGATCCGGACATATCCGAACGACAATGTATCTACAAGTGTAGCGTGGAAGATGAGCAGGCCTCCACGTTCCGTTGCTGGCATGCTGGCGAGGCTGCACAAGAAAGCCGCCTGCAGATCTGCAGATGAGATGCAGTGCAGTACATCAGGCACAACAACAGCAAGTGCCGCAACGCGAGACCCAGCACAGCACCCATTTCTCGCCGCGCAAAGCCTGCGCCGTGTTGCGTATTGGGCCCTTGTGCTTGAAAACCATGGCCTGGCTGCATCTCGCCGCCACTCTTCGACAGCAAGCCGCAGCCAGAAATTGGAAGAAGGGGACTTGAATTTATTGAATCGGCTTGAAACACATCACTTGAAACGATCATAGTCGGCCGCAAGGGGCTGGGGTTGCTGGGGCTCTTTCCGATCCCCGTTTGCACGCTTGTCCCGCCAAAGCCGTCGCGCCCGGCAGTGAGGGCTGCGAGGGAGTTGGCCCTGCAAGTTGCTCCTTGAAGAGAAGAGCCAGATCCGGGCAAAGCTTTCCAACCTCCTCAACCAGTTCCAAACTCCATCTCTCGACTTCTTTTCTTCGGTTCACCTCAGTAACGTAATTCTGGACCATAAATTCATTTAGATTTTCCAACTCTTTGAGCTGGGCTCTCGCTGCCTCTGCAGCCGCCTCCGCGGCCGCCCGCTCCTCGCGCAGCTGCCCCTGCGCCGCCTCCACGTCGGCACGCAGGGCCGCCATCTCCCGGCTAAGCTGTTCCTCTCTGGCTCCAGCCTCCAGTCGATCCCTCAGCAGCTCCCGCAACAGCACCAGCTCGTCGTGCCGTGCCTGGGTCTGCTGCTCCCGCACCAAAGTCTTCTCGATCGTGGCATCCCGCTTCTTCAGCTCTGCTCGCAGCTCGGAGGCGGCCTCGCGCTCCTCCCGCAGCTGGCTTTGCGCCAGCGCCAGCTCTTCATGCGCCAGGTCCAGCTCTGCCTGCTGCCGCTGGATCTCCTGCTTCAGGCTCTTCTTCGCCTCCTCGCTCTGCGTCCGGTCGCGGAGGAGCTCAGACAGCAGGTCCAGCTCAGTATGCCGCGCCGCTCGAAGCTCCTCCGACGTGCTTCCATATGCCGCATGTTTCGATGGCGGCCCCACTTCCCGCAGCTTCGTTGGCTCAGACTCCCCTTCGGGGACCATGCCAAGCGCCTCTGCCTTGCAGGGCTGATCCACTGCCTGCCGCGGCTCG